TGCCATGGACAACAGAAGTCTGCAGCAAAGACTTGAGTCTGGCAGGACCAAGCGGTGCAAGAATCCAGACATGGCTGACTGATGGCAAGTACCAAGCCTGGGAATAGGGCGACACGCTGGGGGACAGAATGGCACCGAAGCAGGATGACATACAGACAAAGGAAAAGGGGGCAGTAGGAAGCACTCGGGATAAGAACACCGTCCCTATCCTATGGCCATAAAATTCCGAGAGCCCCTGGGGGACCAACTCGAAATCACCCTACTTACCAAACTGTTCCTTCCCAAAAGCAACAGCGAGGTCAGAGAGGAACCCCTATATGCAACACCTAGGGGAAAGGCATGGGAGGTTACAGAGAGATTAATGGGTCTCTTGATTTGATTCGGAGATTTAGCTGCCAAATGGGACTGAATCTCTTCCAAATCTAATTAGTGACTGAAGTTTCACACAGCCCTACCAGTCATAGTTACTGGTTCTGAATAAAGCCCCAAGTCCTTAAGGTCAGTTGGAAAAAACTGGAAGGGTTCAGAGGATGAGAGCTCATGCCAAACTTTGGACAGATCTAGGACTTCTCATTGTCCAAAGAAACAGTTGTAGTGTTGCTCTACTTTGGGTTCAGGCTAAGAAAGATAGTGGAAATACATTGAATGGATTCTCTTTTCAGTAGTCATATATCTTTGCTTTATTACCTTTGGTAACTTCCTATCATCCCAAGGTGTTCTCAAGACAAAGATTGTTCTCTATCCAGTTAAAGGACTGAAGAGGCTAAACTTATTGGGTTGGGGGCCTTGAGACAGTCCTGTACCACAGAATAATAAGCAGGACATCTCTCTTTGTTCCAATTTGAGACCTAGTTGTCATGCGTCTTAAGACCATAGACTGACAGATTTGGTTTCTCTGAACACGAGTCTTGGGTCTTTGAATTCCTTGGAAGGAACCTTCTAAAGGGCATGGACACTTAAGATAACACAGGCTATCTCATGTGTGAGCCTGGAATGAATCTCAGGTGTTTTCTATAACCGTGTATAATCTTCTGCATCACTGAAATTCCATACGGAAGTCTTGCAGAGTAACCTATTGATGCAGGATTGGGTGTACAGAAGTGGCTGGTACACAGGGTAATAATGAGGACAGGCCAGGGTGGAACTATTGAATCTGTGATTTTGTATGCGGGGAGCCTCAGGGTTCCCTACAAGTATCATTGAGGGATAGCATATATATATTATAGTTATGCTGGCTGGAGGAGCTCCATATTAGCCTCTGACTGAGAGTGTAGATGTGACTTCTTTTAAAAATAGGCATTTAATTCTCATACAGCCTGAGTACTTAAGATTTTTTTGGTCCTGCGTCTTGTTAAAGATCGTATATTATATAATTTGAAAACTTATATGTTGTCTATAGTACATGCTTTTATAGATAGTGAATTAAAAAAATTGATATGTGTGGGATACCAGCAGACAATACGTTGCTGGTATATGGAACAAAATCATTCATTGATACTGTTATTCAAATTTGTTTTTAATTTTTGAAAATATATCCTACATGTAGGATAAGATTATTCACTCCCGTGGTAAACTGTACTGCATACAAACACAGTTGTGAAAACTATCAGTTTTATGTAAGGAGACAATAACTATATATTTGGTTGTGTTCTTAGCTCTTAGACTACTTCTGTGGCCTAGAGTTGTGTTTCTTGAATTTACATGATTTACAAAATTTCACTAGCATCTATTTAACTGTTTTATGATCATTTTGGTTTGGCATGTCAGGACCAGATCTGTTAAAATTATAAGTTTGCACAACAGCATTGGGCATGAGTATTTAAAGAAGACCAGAAAAGCATGTATCTTGAATCTTGTATTCATATTTTTTGAAATGTTACCTTTGCTTTTGTAGAAGTAAAATCATTGTTTAAATTAGTTTGTGCAGTTTACTGTTTATGAAGCTCTCCATCATGCTTTTGGATTATTCTGTGTATAGAGTGTTATCTGATCTTCCATTATGTGCACAGTGTAATTTAAAACATTGAATTTCTCGTAGGTACATTTAAAATAATGTACACTGGAAGCGCCCCTCTTAACATTCTACCTACCAGTGGAGTGGTGGAACCCAAAGCAGTGCAGTTGGTTAAAGTGGATATCTGCACAGACATACCCAGAATCATCAGAGAAGAGGCAATGTAAGTGCAGAGTACAACAGCATGAAGTCTGAATGTCTGCATTTTCTTTTGGTGTCTTGTATTAATTATAAAATCTCTTCAATATAGCTATGCTCATTCAAATGCAAAATAGCTAAAACAATACATTAGAAGAAATTTAGTTCTTACACATGAGTTATTGTGTTCAGTCCTGTCTTTTTCATTACTGATTTCACTAATGAAATTACCTCCACATAGGAATGTTGTATAAATAATATGCCTTGCCACACTGCTGTAGAATCTTTTTAAACAGTAAAGGCAGGGAAGGCTTCTATATCATCAAGCCAAGCATTTTGCTGTCCAGGGATATGTATATCCTGAAACCTCAGTTTCTCTTTCCCAGTTGAGGTGGTTGGGGGACTTGCCTTTTTCTTTTGAATGCTACAGTTAATGAATGGTGTATGCACAGTATTAAAAAATTGACCTGAAAGTTGTTATAGGTTCCACTGGTATTTCCTGCTTTAAGTGCAGGGAATCTCTCTGGCAGAAATTCCCTGGCAGAATCTTTCAAAACAAAAATATGTTTAAATAACACTTCTTGTAGCTCTTTCCTTTATTAATGGTTTCTTTGTCAATACAGGAATTTTATGATATGGTACCTGCAATAGCAGGAAAGTTGACTTGATGAACTCAGAAGTTCCTTCCAAAGCTACATATCTAGAGTCATAAAAAGTTGCTTAAATGATAATGCTTGGTTAGAGCAAAAATGTCCTGTTCTACTTCTGGTCCCATTGTTCCCATTCATAGTGCACATTCACTCTCTGCCTAGGAGTTTGTAACGTTTTTACCAACAGTGTCTACTATGTGCTGCATGGCCTTGATCTCCTCTTCCCTAAGGTATAAAGAGCAGGAGGCTTCATTCACAAGTTTGTTCTTTCTGACGACCCAATGGTATGGAGCTGAAGCAGTCTTAGTGGCCACGTACAGGTGTTATACTTTTACCAGAAAAATTTCTGCTCTCCCATTAGAAACTCTCCCAGTGGCAACCTGGAAGATCTTCTTTGTGAAAGAACTTGTTTAAAAAGTGACTGCCTGCATGCTCCCCTACCAGTCTGGTGTGAGAGGGGAGGGAAGCAACACCCTTTGCTCCCTGACTCTTCCCCAAACTTGGGACTGCCCAGTTTAGAGACTGGGTTGGGGTTTTGCTTTGCTGCTTCTCCCCTCTTGGACCAGTCAAGGAGAGGAAGAGAGCAGCAGTCGCTGCTCCTCAGCCTCTTCCTCAAACTGGGAACTGCCAGCTGGATGGCAGCTCTGTGATTTTGCATTGCTGGGCACTAGGTTTAGGGAAGCTCTCCCCAAGCTTGCTTTCCTATGTCCCAGACTTCATATTGCCACCCAGATAGGCACCAGGGCTGGTGATTTCAAAATTATTAGGGGTGGGACGTAGTCTCAGGAAGAGTCTCTCCCTAAGCTGGTTTCCTCAAGCCCCAGCTTCGTGTTGCCACTCCTGCTGCCTAACTGGGCAATGGGGGCAACGATTTATAAGTCTGGGGTCCTGGCTTTGAACATGCTGGGAAAAGCAGCTTTTAGATCACCTTTGGCCAGTTGCTGTAGTTTCCCCAGGACTAAGGGATGTGGAGCAGCTACTGTATCCCATGCCTTTCTAAAACAAGGATCACTGGTCTGGGGAAGGTGCAGAGAGCTAGGGAGAAGGGGCAGGTGCTGGCTGCTCCCTCTCCCACACCAACAAATTTATGGACACATGGTGAGACCCATGGGTGAAACAGCTGTGTGGTCTGGATCTGGCCCACAGGCTGCATCTTGGTCATCACTGCTCTAAGCTCTTTTTATAGGGTAGCAACTTTAAGGGTAGAATAGTTTTAGCTCAGAGGCTGTCAAACTGGTCAAGGGATTGTTTTAGAACAGCATGTGCTTAACAAATTGGATGCTTCAACACAAATAAGAACTCAGAGCCTAGGATTTCTCAGCAGCCTATTTTAGTAGAGTTTCAATAATAAAGATTTGTAAAAAGCTCCATTGTCCTCAGTGCACATATTAAAAATAATGACTTTTTGGTGACAGCATCAAGATCAGATACACATATATGGAGAACAGTTTTATAATCCTTAGATGCATCTACATGTGTGCTTTACTATAGAGTTGACCAATTAGCTCCTCAGTAAAGCATCACCATCTACACATGTGCCTCTATGAGGGCAGAGTAAATTTAATGAACTCTGCCACAGAATAGTACTGTCTGGGACATGTACTATCCTATGGTGGAGTCATTTACGTTGTCTCAATGCACACTGTCCCGGGGAGCCGAACAATAAACGGGACTCACCTGCAGCTCCCGATGACAGGCGCACGAGGCGGAGGGAGGAGCCCGCGTGGCTCATTAGCTGCCTGTTTATCAGGTTACGCCGAGCTGGTGACGTCATGGAGGAACACCAGCCGGCGGCGTTAAAAACGATGGTTGCAGCTGCAGAGGGGGCGGATAGCTCCAGCGAGAAGCAATGCCAAGCCCTGCTGACGAGGGAAGCGGTGATGGTGGCTGTTAACAGCGTGGCAGCAGGAGAGCAGGCAGAGGCTCCAACGGAGCAAGAACGGACCCCGAAGCTGGAAGCTGCCCCAGACATCGAGGGTGCTGAAGGCATGGCTACGGAGGACGCGACAGACCGAAAACCGGAGGGCAGCACGACCCACAGGTGGGGTGCTGGAGCAATGGCGCGCAGAAGCGGCCGCACTAGGCAGGAGAGACCCCAGGAGAGCCCCAAAGGGGTACAGCCGGGGCATCGCCGCCAAGCTACGAGGTAGTGAGCCGGAGGAAGGACCGGGAAAGCAAGGGGCCAAGAACGGGCCAGAAGGGAACTGAAAAGTGTTCAGAATAGGCTGCTCAATAAGTTGAGGAGCTGAGTAGTTCGCTTTTCCTTTTGAGGTTTGAGTTGTTGGGTAGCCCTGGCTGAAGGGGGCAGAACTGGGGCAATGTCCTTATAAAGTAAGGTTGATGGGGTCTCGGTGAGGCCAGAGTCTGTGCAGGAAGTCCTGTTCTGTGCCGGGCGGGGAGTAGGCTAGGAGGGCCGTGAGCTGAGCTTGCTGGTGGGCACCACAACAGGGGTGATGGCCACTTAGGGGTAGACCGGTGGGTGTCATTCCATGGCTGGAGAACAAGGACCAACGGAGGAAGGACGCACTAAAGGTGGCGTGAGGCTGGGGTGCAGGGATGGCGGAGCCCTGTGAAGTGACCGTCGAGGGATCCTGGGCCACGGAGTGTACCGCGAACTGGCCCTTGACACTGAGGAACATCAAGTTGTGGTGGGCAAGAAAGGGGTTGGGGGCACGGGGAAAACAGAACTGCTCCGACACCAACAAGATCCCAACAGGTGTGTGACATCTACCTACAGGGCTAGAACCACCCAAGAGTGGGTAATCGAAACCTGGCAGTCACACACGTAGACAATGAATGGGACTGGCTGGAACATGAGGGTGCTACAGTGTTGGGGCTTCACCCTCATGTCCCAGCCAGCACCTCATGACCTAGCCAGCACCTCTGTCACCTGACACTGCCACCTGGATCCTGGGACTGATACCCTGGGCCTCCTGCCAGCCTGTGGCTGCTCTACCCCAGCTCAAATAGTTGCAGTCTTAGGTACATGTGAAGACACTGTGCTAGGGAGCAGCTGACTCCAGTGTGAACTGCACTGGAGTTTATTGCTACATACTAGCTGGGCATATAGGTGCACTCTTTCTCTTGCTGACCTCCTTGTGTCAATTGCCTAAGTACCAAATTTTTAGCTAAATACAGTAAGTGGGATTCACATAAATGAAATAAGTTACTAAGTTTTCAATAGCTGATTCTTTCTGTGTGTATGGATTCCTGAAGTCACAGCTTGGAGTTTTCTGAAGAAACCAAGTGTTGTTTTGGGTTGATCAACATTTTTCTTTGACTTGGAGGGCAAAGTGATGCTAAGTATAAGCCTGACCCATAATAGGTACTACTGGTATCCATAATGGATACTACTGGTGAAAATATGATGAACTCATATGGACAGGGTGCAGACATATAACATCTTGAAGTATTTCATTTACCATATAGTTAGTAACCTCCAGTTTCTCACTGTAAATAGTAACAAAAGGTAATTATTTTTTCTAACTACAGGTTGGGGATCTTGCTCACCATGGTACGTAAGAGGGAAAAATAGTGTTATGCTTACACAGAAAAACATTATTGTTGGAGGACTTGTCCAATGTCTTGCAGAGGGGCACTCCTTGAAGGGGTTTCCTGGCTTCTGTAGGTAGAGACAAACAGATTTTTAGAGGGGTCTAAGTACGTATGTGTTTAGTGAAAAGGAATGCCACTAACTCCTTTTAAGTGTCAGTATTGCTCAGAAAGACTTTAGTGCCCCATACAATATTTCATTTTGGCTTTATAGAGAAATACCTTCTGGGAGTAAGACTTACTTTGAACTGTATTTTTGTGATGGTTTAATTAGTTTATATGTTGTAAGCCTTCTGTTTAGTTTAATTCTAATATTAGAAAAGCCTAAGTCTCTGTCTGTCTGTCTGTCTGTCTGTCTGTCTGTAACGCTTTATTTGCACTCTGATTGGTTGATGAAAACAGCCAATCAGAGTGCTCCAAGCATGGGGGGTTACCGCCATGATTCTGAAGCCATGCTGAGGACTGGACAGAGGGTGGGGGAGCTGAGGCCTGCAGCACTGGCCTTAGTTCCCCCACCTCAGTCCCTGAAGAGGCAGAACAGCAGCAGCATGCGGTGTTAGGTGGTGGCACTCCATCCCAGCCCTCTCCCTCCCCCTTTTTCCCCTCCCCCCCGCCGTCATTCTTGACAGGCAATTGGCTAGTTTCTGATATAATTTCTGATTTGAGTATGGTACCTAAAGATCCAATGAAATTAATGGATTATTCTTGTATAAATATTACATGCACATCATTTATTTTTGTTTTGCTACTTTCAACAGAGTGGAATTACAGGATCATGGTAGCACAAAGTTAAGGATTGAAGCTACTGTGGTTGAACAAATTCTTGAACTATTAAGTGCATCTCATGGAAATATTTTGGAATGTATTAATTTTGGATCTGTCTATTTTGGATCTTCCAAGACTGAAGAAGTAGTTCTATGCAATAAAAGCCCAGAGACCATAAACTGGGTTGCAGTGCTGGAAGATGATGCTGTTGGAGGAGAGATGGTAAGGAAATAGTGCTGTGTCATTTCAGCATAAAGATTTTGCTTTTTTCCCTTATCTTCTCTATGTATTTTTATATTCTAGTATTCACACTTTTCCTGGTCAGTACAGCTGCTGAAAGATGAGACCAAACAACAGGACTGCTGCTATAATATTACTTCGGGATTAAAAGTTTTAGTCACTGTTAATCAAAGCAACAGATAATAACTTCAGTGACTGTAATTTCATTTATATAAGTGTTATAATTTGTTGCATGATCTAGTGTGTTTGACCTAATTTACAGGGAGATCACTAAGATTTCCTTTGTTAAAGAAGGTGAAGGGCTCACAGTGTTCAGCCCTCAGGGCTCACAGTTATTAATATGATTACATTTTCAGTTGAACATTTTCTTTTTTGATCTCTTGTTGTTGTGAGAGAACCCCAGATGAAACTGACTGTTAACGACATTTCATATTTTGGTGTTATCTTACAGGGCACCGATATTCAGAAAAGTACAGATGCTGTTTTACAAGACATAAACTTCTTAGATAGAACAAGAGAACTAGATGTTTGCAGTTTAATCTCCTGCATTCCCAATCAAGGAACCTTGCAGCCTTATCAAAAAACTGTGATTACGCTGTATTTTAGTCCAAAGTAAGTACATAGTGCAACATTAAGAGATTGACATAATTAAAGGCATAGCAAATTAATAGTAGCAAATCTATCAGCAACTGTTAGATGTATCAAATATAATTTTGGACATCACAGAATTATTTCTTTCAGTATCACAGATCAATTCTAGCTTTTTATAATACTTATTTTTTATATATAGAACGTAAACTTAATTACTTCAATAATTTTTGTGCTTTTGTTTCATGAATAAGGTAGCTAATCATATCATAGTTGCCAGATAAAACCTACTAATTGCTATTTAATTAACCCCTTAAGGTAGTTGCAGATCAGTCAAGGCAAAGGGGTGTGATTCAAGCCATGCTTTTTTTACTTCAGCATATGTAAATAACTTTTTCAGGCTGGAAGTTTTACTGAGAATCTTCAGCAAATTACTTTAGGGACAAGAATATAATCCCCTTTTCACTGTCTATTCCCAGTTTCTCAACCAGAAAAGTTCTTAAATTAAGGAGGTTCCTTATATACAAGCTAGTACTTCCTGCTACATTCCTCCATTGATTCTATAGTTCATGACAACAGTTAATGATATAGTATTCTACATAGGGTGACCATCTGTCTCATTTTTTCCCAAGACAGTCTCAGATTTTGGAGCTTGCCTCCAGGTGTGGGGTGTGGGCTGGCAGGGGAGGGAAGCAGCACGGCCTCCCTGGAAGGTGGCAGCATGCCACTCCACCTCTGCCTCTCCCTACAGCGTGCTGCTGCCTTGGGAGGAAGCGGGTGGGGGACAGTGTCCCAGATGTCCCATATTTCCAACCAAGATGGACAGTCACCCTAATTCTACATATCTGCCCTGTGCAAGCCAGCCTTTATTTTCATGTTTTGCAGGAGTTTGTCTTTCGGATATAGCAACAGGATTATGTTTTCAGCTATAGAATGTTTAATAATTCTCTGATATCTTTCTGCAGCTAGAATGTTGGATTTTGTTATCTGTTTCTGTACAAAATGGCAGCTATTAAGTTCTTCAAGGGAACTGATTCTCTTACTGAATATATGAAAATGATTAAGAGACTCAATTTTAAGTTTGGTAGCTTCATTTAGAATAGACATTTCATTTTACTAAAAAAGTGTGAACTTGCTGTTCTGAAACAACAGAGGTCTCACCTGGTTTATGCAAAATTTTTTGCATATTTGTGCTAGAAGGTGGGAGAGTGTGGATGCTTAGAGACTACATGGTTCAGAGAGGCATGAGGTTTCATAGGCAACACCTTCATCATATGCTGTAGCAGGGTCTGGGTTAGCTTAGCATCACCCAGCTCAAATCAGTCCTTGAACTCTTTAACTCACTCCTTTAATTTGGTTCCAGAAACACAGTCTATCATGCCTTGGGTTTTTCTGCTCCACAGGGCTCAGCCAAAAGCATATGCAATCCAAAATAAACACACCTTTAACCTGGTCCTAGCAACATAATCTGTCTCTGGGCCCAGGAACACAAGCTTCAAAACCCTGGGTTAATCTGCACCAGAGAGCTCAGCAGAAAATATAAAACAATTCAAAATGAACACCCACAAGCAAGGGCTAGTTCTCACCCTATAATTTGCCTTCCTCCTTGGAGGAATGCTCCCTCCCCATGCAAGCTCCCTCTAAGTCCTCTACCTATCACTTCCTCATCCAGCCAGTCAACTTCCCCTCATTATTGCTGATTGCTTGAGCTATCTGAGGGCCCTTAGGCATCTGACAAAGTAGGTTGCTGCCTAGGAAGGATCGTGTTTCCGAACTTAGTTAGTCCTTGTGGGGATGGAGAACAGCTTGGTCTGCCTTCTGCCTGTCTTCAGACTAATGCAACTAATCACCTTGTTACAGCCTTATGTTAGAATGGATGTGTCTGTGTCTTCTGTTGTATTTGGAAACTGGGGAATTGCAGACTACTATGCCAAAGTAGTCCTATGTGGTTTAGTAATGTGTACAACTTTAAAAGCAAATTTATCTAGGCTTGCATAAGAGTGGCTGAAGGGGAAACTCTTGCTATTATAATACTAATCTTTAGTATTATTTCTTTAAATCCTTTAATATTTGTGCAAGTATCCAACCCAAGATAATACTTTACAGTTTTGGGGTAGTTGCCTTTATCTCCTTGAAATGAGTAGACTGAAGCTTTTGGTACAGCCTACCTAAATGGAAGTCAAACTATGTGGGACAATGCTCCCTCAAGCCAGGAAGAGGAAAGGGAACTGTGTTTTCCAGTCCACCTCTTTTTAACTCTTAGGATAGGGACAGGCATTCAAAAAGCTGGAGTGCACAGACATTCATGTTTAATTCTACAAATGCAGGTGCATGCTTGTAGTGGCTCAGGCTAGAAGCCGGGGGTGCTAGAGCAGGCCCTCCCTTCCATTTGCAGCAGTTGCAAGGCTGGAGGGAAGCTGACCTGGGGGGTGTGGCTAGCCCCCCTGAGCTAAGTATGATTGTAGAAGGGTTTAAACCCCAACCCTGGCCTGTAGGGACCCCAGCCAGGCTGCGTCTGGAGGGGTAGGGGGGAAGCAGCCCTTGCCAGGCTAGTCCCCGAACCCAGACACTGGCTGAAGCAGTGCCTCAGGCAAAGGGGGCAGAGGGTGGGGATTAAATTCCCCTGTCTCTGGTCACAGGACCCCAGTTGGGGTCCGCTCAGCTTTCCTTCCTGCTCTTGCTTGGGCAGTGGAGGGCCTGGCCAGAACCACTGGCATGACCCTGCTATCTAACCAGGACTGGGACTGTGGCTACAGCTGGGGTTGCAGGGCTAAACCCAGCTGGCTTGTGGGTGTAGCTGAGGGCAGAGTCATTGGGGCAGCCTCTTCTGGGGCTGTGGGGGCTGCGTGGCCAGACTGCTCCTAGCTCCCCATGTCCAAGCCAGGTGATGCTGTCATGGAGTCCCAGCTGGCTGGGTAGGGCCCCACAGGGCAGACTGTGGGATCAGGGCCCTTCCCAGTCCACTGTGGCTGCGTGACAGCCCAATCTGGCAGCACAGGCTGGGGCTGGTTGGGGAAAGAGCTCCCCAGGCCAGCTCAGAGGTACTGGCGGGCCCTGAGCCTGGCAGCCGCCACTGCTGTACCCCCTCCCCTGTGCAGCCCCTTGGGACTGCAGCTGCATAAGCAGCTGTGGGTCAGCTGTGTCAGGGGGCTGTTCTGCCCCCCTTGCCTCCAGCTGCCATAGCCTGAGCTGGGCTGAAGCAGCTGGGCTGAAGAAAACTCCCCCAGTGCTGAGCTGCACTGTGTGGTGTGGCAGGAGCTACAGCTGGAGGTGAGGAGAGAAATACAGCTTTGCCAGGCCAAGCCAGCTTCCCCTTTTCCCCAGTGGTTACTGTCCCTCCCATTCCTGTCATTGGTGCGCTGCTTCGGGAGGTGGTGGTTGTGTGGGGGGAAGCTTCAGCCTGGTGACTTCTGCCCTGTGTGTGGAGCTCCATCTGCTGTTCCCAGACACCTTCCACTTGGACGCCTTCTGCCTTCCAAGGTGTCCGGGAGCTGGAGTTAGCTTCACACTTGGGGCAGAAGCTGCGGGCTGAAGCTTCCTGCCCCTCTACCCAGAGCGATGTGGTATGGCTGCAGCAGCTGGAGGCGAGTGAGGCAGAACAGCCCCATGCCCTGGCCAGCCCACTGCTGGTTGTGAGGCTACAACCCCAGGTGCTGCACAGGGCAGGGGACATGGCGGTGGCAGCTGCCAAGCTCGGGGCTTGCTGATGTCTCTGAGCTGGCCTGGGAACCCTGCTCCCTAGCCAGCCCCTGTCTGTGCTGCTGGGCTAGGCTGTCAAACAGCTGCAGTGGGCTGGTAAGGGCACTAACCCCACGGGCTGCCCTGTGGGTCTTTACCCAGCTGGCTGGGGCTCCATGATAGTCCCAACTGGCTTGGGCACGGGGAGCCACACAGCCCCTGAGGCCCCAGCCCCAGCTGCAGCCTGTTGGGAAGGACCCAGACCCAGCGGTCCGGCCTGGGTAGGCCCCTCTTCTTCTGCCTTCAGCAGCACTCATTGGCCTGGGCTCAGCCATGCAGCCTCAGCTGCTGGTGAAGCAAGTGGATGTCAGAGGCCATTCCAGCTGGCTCTGGCCATGTTCCCTCCCCTGCCAGTGGATTGGGGATGAGGGGGAATGGATGATAGGGGCCACAGTCCCCGGGGAGGTGGAGAATAAACGCTATCCCTGCTCCCTTTGTCTTGCGGGGGCCAAGCCTCTGGCCATGCCCTTACCTCTGGGGGCCTGGCCATGCTGGGGGACTCTTGATTTAACTTAAACGAGGAAGGGGTCTGGGACAGAAGTTGCATAAACTGGTTGGACCCAAAGCAGTTAAGTTTGATACTATATTCAACCAGGTTTATCTTAAATCAGTTTCGGCCATTTTGAAGCTAGTTTATGTGCACTGAACTTACGTTCTGTCACAGGTTTAAACCAGTTTCTGATCACTTAAATTGTTTTACATGTAACTTCTGTCACTAGCCTTATTGTTAAAGTAGGGAAACTGTGCTATTGAGCCTGTGATATACAGGAAGGGAAGAAATCTGTTGTATTTGCTTAAATGCAAGATGAGTATTTTTACCCAAACAACATGGTGGGGAAAAAAACCTCATCTTGGATACAAGTACTGTCCCAGGGCAGGCAGTGGCTCAGCTCTGACTTCAGCCCCAGCTAAGCCACTGTGTGCCCTGGTCCAGGCTGGCTCATGCAGCAAGGAAGGGGTAAGTGTCTGGGGGAGTGTGGGAGAAACTATGTTGCCTGCCTTCTTACAGCCAGCCTCCATGGCTCCCCAGTTGCCTACCCTCCCTTACCTTCTGCTCTGGCCTCAGCCCTGACCTGGCCAGGCCCAAAACTGCTGTTGCTGTTTCTCCCTGGTTGGGTAGGGCAGGGCCAGGTTGGGGCCACTACTGCTGGTGATTTTCTTGGAGCAAGAGCAAAGCAGAGTAGAGCAGCAGAAAGTGGCAGGGAGTGCGTGTGGATGGTGGGGGACAGGCACTGGTTGGGGAAGGCTATGGGTGGCAGGGGCTAGGCATGTGCATGGGGCAGGAGAGCAAGGGGCATGAGGGGCAGGTATTAGGAGGTTAGGCACAGACATGGGATCAGGGGCAGGCAGCATCTGAGTAACATGGGAGGGTGGGGCAAATGGCAGGGTGGACAGATACCGGGGGTGGGGGTAGGCACAGGAAAGCAAGGGGCAGGGACTCAAGAGGCAGGCATCTCATTTGGTTTGCCCCTCACTTTCTGCTGCTACATCTATAATTTTCCATGGATTAAATCTAATTATTGAGGTGGGAAGGTCACCTTATATTCAAAGTTGTCTTGGATTCAGGTAAATACAGTACTTTTTAAATTAGTTGCCATTGCAGTTGCTGAAAAGTAGAGAATGTAGTAGTAAAAAAAGAGTAAACCATATCAAACAGTAAAAGGAGAAACTAAATTAAGAGATGAAAATTGCTCCTTAATAATCATGTGCATTTGATTTAAAATTTGTTAATTTTACAGGCAGTTTAAGAGAGACACTGGACTGGCAGAATCTCCATCAAGACAGGATTATGCGCTATTTTTGAGATTTGAGACCGTAGGAAGTACAGATGGCTTTCTGCGGTCACTGAGTGGTGAAGATATGTCAATCAGAAAAAGTATGTTATCAGTAATATAGTGTATGTATATGTAAAATAATACTCTAGCCCTTTATGTTTTAATTATTCACATCTTCAGATTAGTACTTTTAATGAGGATCTCTACTTGTTTTATAGACACCCATATCTTAAGTTAATGTACATTCTGAATGAGTCAAGGTGAAGGAAAAAACCACCTTCGACTTTCAGAATTCTATCTTTGTGGTGAAGGGAGGGGGATTAATATTGAATCATTTATATTACGAATGCCCATAAAGCCAGGAGCATTTATTTTTTTTTATTGTATATTTAAATTATATTAAAAAGGAGATTTAAAAAAAAAACATTTGGTCTTACCAAGGTTAGTGTTCATTTCCATTGGAATGTCATTTCGTCCTGATGTTAATAAATAAAAGTTCTCCATTTTGTATTAATCTATATGAATAAGCATTTCAGTTGCGTATTAAGCTTGTGTATACTTAAACATCTGAAATACAGTGCAGAAAAGGATGAGATGTGGACGTCATGATATTTTATACATTTACATATTCTTTGGTTGCAGTAGTTTAAGACTCCTATATGACTTGAATTCACAAGTTAATATTTTATATTTCTTTTTTTCTTTTTCACTCTGTTGTGCAGGGAATCTTTCTCATTGTGTGGAATTAGCTTTGACTGGCTCAGGACTTCCTGTCATATTAACTTTCAGTCCAGGACTAGTTATTAATTTTATGGACTGTTTCATGGGTGAAAACACACAGATTCTGTGCACGCTCAAAAATGCATCAGAGTCACTTCCAGTAACATACAGTTTCCGTAAAATTGCTCACTTCAGGATTTGCCCTCGGAAAGGAAAAATAAAAGAAAAATGTGACAAGGTATTGTAAAAATATATATTTTCCATAAATACTATATTTGAAAAACAAGGAGACCATTATACTCTACAGTGGCTTATTCAGGAACTGTAATTTGTCCCAAAAGTAGTAATATTTAGGGGAAAAAAATTACATATTTTCAATCTTGACTAGCTAGCTATTTTCAAGGGAGGTTTCCTATTTTCTTCAACACAAGATGAAAATTTATGCTTAGGCTTATATATAGAGCTTATATATTTGGCTCTGTCCCTTTCCAAAGAGTGCCAGGTATTATCAGTTTTCAAAAAGGAAAAAAAAAAGCCTCCCCTTGATTCTACAAAGCTGTAGGTACTTGGTATGTTACTTATTTGTATAAAGCAAGTCCTACCTAAGCCTATATGGAATCAGGGCCTACCTTTAGCTTATTCTAGTAAATCACAAATATTTTTGACTATTTTTCCTTTAGTGAAATACTAAGGCATATTAAAAGATACATGAGAAATTTTAACTTCTGTGTACCTGTAACTTGAGGGCACTATTGATAGCAGGTCTACCCAGTTGTGGGGCTGGCTGCCATTTTTGCAGGTTGATCATGGTGGGGCCTCCCACACCTCTGGCTGAGGGTCCTTGCTGGCACTGCCTCTTGCTTCTGACTGGTTGCAAGGGCTGTCTGTCATGCATCCCCACCCCTTACCACTGATTGATGGAGAGGGCTGGGGCTGCATGACAGATACCCCTCTCAACCAATCAGTGGCAAGGCGTGGGGGCAACAGCTATCTTGGGCTCTTCTTCATGCTGGCAGCCCCTATTCTCCTTGCCTCCCTGGTGGGTTGCGTGGCTGGGCCTCAGCATCATGAGGACTGCTAGGTCCTTCTGGGGAGCCAGCACTTTATTTTCAGTAAGTTATTTTTCGTAGATTTTATGAGCATTGCTCTTTCATGATTTCAGTAGGTCTTTGACTATAGGAAATGAACAACTATATTTTGCTACACAATTGAGTTTGTACAATTCTTCAAGTATAGTAGTATCTAAGAGTTATATTTTGTATTTGCTAAATTATATGTAATAGTTGTTCTAATTTAGAAGCATATATGTAATAGTTGTAGTAGTTGTGCATACAGGACCCTAAAAATAAATAGGAATCAGGAATGCACATCTTTTTCAATAAAAAAAATCTATAATACCTCTTTATTTCTAGTAAAATAGCAATGTTTATTTTTCCAGGATGTGATGTTTTCATTTTCTCCAACTCAAGTAGGAACCTTTAAAGTGAAGCAAGTTGTAGATATTATTGGCTTAGTAATGCAGCAAGATAATTTACAGACTTTGAAGAAAACATCCTTTCATCAGATAAACTTAAACTTTACTGGTGTTTGCAAATCTAAAGCAAAGAAAATTGTGTTCAGAATCAACTCTGGTAAGTTAACAACCACCCTCCTCCCCAGTTGCCCCCACCTTCATAATTTTCATTTATAAAGATCTTTTATAATAGTAAATTTTCCTAAGAGGCCTTTGGAATTAATTTATTATTAGAGTTTAAGTCGATTTTTTTAAATCTCTGTAAAAGCTGTCTGATGAAGTAGATGGTTGCCTTTGAAAGCTCATGCCCCTGAGCCAGTTAGTTTCAAAGGGCACCTGTAACCATGCCCAGTGCCCACTTCAGTGCATGCTAATTAGTGTGCATTGGAGCAGACTCGATTAATTGAGCCTCAGTGTTGTGCAGAGATGTTGGTTTTCAGGAAAATTTTGAACTGGAAAATTTTCCAATGCCCTAAATAGAGTATGATCTGATATAGCATGTTTATTTGACTTACATTTAGTAAACAAAACTAAAAAAGTACCCCCATGTTAATATTATGTCCCAATAGCCACAAGTATTTGAATTGAAATATTTGATTAAGAAAATAAAATTAAATACAGCACACTTAATGTGGTTTAAATGTTATATTCAAACAAATTCAAAGCTTTATGTGGAAATAATTTATTTTTATTGGAATGGTTGTAAAAATGTAAAGACAATACACAATGGCATGTACTTCCCTTCCATTGTTTGTTTAACTTTAAGGAAAAAACAAAGGGACTGAAAACTGTTTCGTATACCCAAAGAACTGTGCATGATATGTTGTGGTTGTCCACTCACCTACTTCAACAGAGTTTAACTCTCTTCCACTGAGGTCATCGCAGTACCTCCAGTTTCACTGTCACTGTCTGTAGAATCACTGGTACTACTTATTAGTTCCATTTCAGAAGCAGATTGAGGCAAATATGATTCAGAAGTACTTGAATCACATTCTCTTTCGCTAACGGATGGTTCACTAATTGTGCTTCTGACCGATTCTCTAGATGCAAGAGAGTTTGAGAAATAGAAACAAGCTTAGCGATGCATTTATTTGTTAGTCTGTTCCTCTTTTTTGTCTTGATTGAGCTGAAAGCCTTCCAGCTCCGTTTACAAGAAGCTGCTGTTGGTGGAAAGCTTAGGATCCCTAGAGCCATCCTGGACAACAGCCAGGTGTCACAGTATACCTTCCACAATGTGAGAGGAGACATATTCTCTGCTGCATGCCAAATGATGTCTTTGTTCCAAAGTTTTTCTTTTGTGCTGTACTCGGCAATGTCTGTCATCATACCTATTTTGTCAATGTCGTGGACCTTGTTATCTACTTCCATAATTGTATCAAGAGCAGTAGATAATTCATCTTCTGATAAATGTTGTCCTCTCTCTTGATGATCGAAAAGGTTTGCTGTCAGATTAATTGGATGATAGCAAAACTCAGATCTCTTAGTAAACATTTGTTTTACTACTACTACTTTTCTTGGATAGAGGTGAAGAAGGCAAAAGCTCAATTAGATTTTCATTTTGTTGTCTGAATATCTCTGGAATATTTGAAAGGCTTTGTGTATCTCCTTCAAGTTTC